CGTAAACCAGCCAGTCCCTTTTTTCCAAGCAAAGAGACCCCTATGGATTTTTTTTCTGTCCCGCGGGCACCCCCGGCTAACCCAGCCGCGTTGCGCACCCCTCGTCGACGACTTAAAAAATTCAACCCCCAATTTGTAGGCCGCGGCTGTTTAATTGCGATATCCAAGCCACCCTGCGCTTCATTCCTCTCTGCGTTCATTTTTTTTTTCTTTCGCCTTCACTTTCCCTCCCCAATTTAGCAACAAAGCCGCGGTTTCACGGGTCGCACGACACTCTTCTTCTCGTTAATCTTCCAAGTCCCTGTTTTTTATGCCAAATTCCCTGACTGAGTCAAACCGAAATAACGGTTGGTATCCCTGATGCGTCACTAGTAGGATAACCAATATTATTGTAATATTAAAATTAATATCGAGTAGTCTCAATTTCCTGAGTAACGTAAGTTTAAAAATGATGCGTTCATCCTACTTGCGATTTGACGGCTTTCACTGTCTATGTCTTTCTCTTGCATGTACAAATCCCTATAGCACCGTCTCTCTCCCACTCAGGCACAACACAGTAAATTCAGAAACTCAACGATCAACACTTTTCCTACTCGGTCGGATGGTATGTAAGGTATAAATGCGAGAAATCAAGTTCAACGAGAACGAAAAATGATCGCTATACATACTACATACGATCCTACATAGGTGGTGTAAAATGCACCCCTTTCATACACGCTCCGCTCGAGAGACTGCTCCTCCCAATTTGTAAGGGGGAAACATCGCATCCGTTTAATTGCGCTATCACTTTTTTTACTCTTGGTTTCCATTGCGGCTGCTGAATCAAATTTTTTTTTTGTTGGCTGTAGTGGCGGCACGTTTTTTTTTTCCTTAGTATTTTAGCGGCGTTCGGTAATTATGTGGGCGCGACGGACCAAACAAGGGTCGCCCTTTGCACGGGTATAGAAAGGAGTAGAGGAGAAAAATATAAGAAAAAAGTCGCTTAGCATATTTAAATCGTAGGGACAGAGGATAAAAAAGGGGTTGTTGGTTATGGTGGCCGCCCTGACGGTCCCCTTTAGGAATAGTCGCGGGCGCGTGCGCCGCACGGGCCCCGCGGCTCTCCTATACTGCTGTGTTTGCACACCCGAAAATTGCTCGGGTCGACACTCGGTGAACGAAGAAGGAAAAAAAGCACACGAGACAAAAGGGAGGAAATTACAAAAA